TTCATGGTCCAACTCTCACATCCATACATGACTACTGGAAATACCATAGCTTTGACTAGACGGACCTTTGTTGATAAAGTCATGTTTCTGCTTTTTAATATGCTGTCTAGGTTGGTCATAACTTTTCTTGCAAGGAACAAGCGTCTTTTAATTCAATGGCTGCAGTCACCATCTGCTGTGATTTTGGAGCCCCCCAAAATAAAGTCTGTCACTGTTTCCATTGTTTCCCCATCTATTTGCCATGAAGTGATGGCATCACCGACTCGATGGACATGAGTTTGGGTAAACTCCGGGAGCTGGTGATGGACAGGGAGGCCTGGCGTGCTGCAGTCCATGGGGTCACAAAGAGTCGGACATGATTGAGCGACTGAACTAATGGGACCAGATGTCATGATCTTAGTTTTCTGAATGTTGAGTTTAAGCCAACTTTTTCACTCTCCTCTTTCACTTTCATTAAGAGGCTCTTTACTTCTTCTTCACTTTCTGCCATAAGGGTGGTGTCATCTGCATATCTGAGGTTATTGATATTTCTCCCAGCAATCTTGATTCCAGCTTGTGCTTCATCCAGCCTAGTATTTCTCATGATGTACTCTGTGTAAAAGTTAAATAAGCAGGGTGACAATATACAGCCTTGATGTACTCCTTTCCCAATTTGGACCCAGTCTGTTGTTCCATGTCCAGTTCTAACTGTTGCTTCTTGACCTGCATATAGATTTCTCAGGAGGCAGCTCAGGTGGTCTGGTATTCCAATCTCTTTAAGAATTTTCCACAGTTTGCTGTCATCCACACAGTCAAAGGCTTTGGCATAGTCAATGAAGCAGAAATAGATGTTTTTCTGGAACTCTCTTGCTTTTTTGATGTAACTGTAAATTGTAAACAATGACAATTTAAGATAAAACTTAAATCATTCATCGTAGTATCTCCAACAGGATCTACATAACAACTGAATAACCATCAACCATTTAAAATTACATAAATGAGGTCTTCAACATTCTGTAGTTCTACACTGTTCTTTTATAACTTATATTTATGTTCTACTTCCCCATAGAATGGTATCCAAATGTAATATGTTTTATGTTTGAAAAACATTTTACTGATCACATCTTTGCAATAAAAATATGTATATAGGTAAAATTTTAAAATATTTTCTGTAATTGTATGACTGTATTAGAAAGAATCCTTCTGAAATAATTATTATAGTCATCTTTAACATGTAGCTGCTCAAAATGACATGATTACAAATTTGATAATACATAAACAAAAAAGGTAAAATTCTACTGGAAATGCAACTCTCAGTGAGATAGATGGGGCCTCTCTACCAATTAATTTATGTATCTGAATGACTATTTCTTGCTGTTAGATAAAAGGTTTCCCTTTCAATTTTATTTCTTCTTTGTTTTAGCTGATACAGTGCTGAGGAATATTACTTACAAAAATATATGATAATGCTGGTAGTTTTGTTAGAAGAATATTAATCAGTTCTTTGGTTTTATGGACAAAAAAATGCTGCTGGCTATTTCAGTAAACAAAGAATGTTGCCTGCAAGAATTCCCTGCTGCCCCTGTGCTGAGGGATTTGTGCTTTCACTACAGTGGCGCTGGGTTCAAATCCTGGCCAGGGAACTAAGATCCTGAAAGCTGCAATTGGTCAAAAAACGAGAAAACAACAACATGAAAAACAGACTGTTGCCTGCCATCAAGCCAATAGCTACTGCAGCCGCCCCAACATTGTGCCCTGAAAGAAATTTAGGATGGAGAAAATGAGCATACTGGCTCTAGATAGTAAGACGTTATATCAAAGGGAATAATTTCAATGAGCCCAGAATCTTACATCTTCCCTTTCATAGAGAATTGATGCTTTTGAACTGTGGTGTTAGAGAAGACTCTTGAGAGTCCCTTGGACTGCAAGGAGATCCAACCAGTCCATCCTAAAGGAAATCAGTACTGAATATTCACTGAAAGGACAGATGCTGAAGCTGAAAATCCAATACTTTGGCCACCTGATGCGAAGAACTGACTCACTGGAAAAGACCCCGATGCCGGGAAAGATTGAAGGCAGGAGGAGAATGGGACGACAGAGGATGAGATGGTTGGATGGCATCACCGACTTGATGGACATGAGTTTGAGTAAGCTCCGGGAGTTAGAGATGGACATGGAAGCCTCGAGTGCTAGTCCATGGAGTCGCAGAGTTGGACACAACTGAGTGACTGAACTGAACTGATTCATAGAGAAGCACTGAAACCATTAACTTGAGGTGCCTGTTTTTTGGGCTGAGCAGTAATCTTTCCGTGTTTGACTACATGTTTTGTTTTGCTTTTTTTCCCCAGCAAAAACTCACTTATCTTGGCTTACCCCTTACTTCCTAGAAACAATCCCTCAGAGTTCTGAGAGGCCTTCCCAGGTTATAGCCTTCAGCAATGTCCTCAAAAAAAAAGAGATAATTCTCAGCTTTTAGGTTTTCCATTTTTTTCATTGGACAGTTACCTTCTGACTTTATGTCAAAAATCCAATAGTGTTCCTTCATCAGCTGACAAGTCAATTAGCTCCATTACTAATTTTGTTGAAAGCAAAGAACTTATAACCATTTGACATGCAAAAAAATTTGTTATTCTGTCATTAGATTCGTTAACTTTCTCAAGGGACCTTTAATTATCCTGATCACTCTCACTGAGAGGCATTTAGGAAGAGATGAGAAATTCGAGATACTGTTAATTGCAACACATCTTTAGCATTAAAATATCACTTTAAATATATCTTAACTGCAGCAGCAGCTCAATTTATTGTAAATAAGAATCATGGAAATTAGCAAGGCCAGTTCCTTTGTCAAACTAGTTAAATCGGACTTCAGTCAGAAAAATTTTCAAGTCAAATCAATGTGCTAACAGGTATTATTGTGACCACAAGTCATTTGTAAATTTTAAGACACACATGGCATGGAGTTTTGATAGAAATCTGTTCTTGGATAAGGAGTAAAGCTCTTTCACTTTAGGTAATTTTTTTTAACTTTTCATTTTATATTGGAGTGTAACTGACGGACACTGTTGTTGACACTTCCAGGTGCACAGCAAAGGGACTCAGCTTTATCTATGTATCTATTCTCCCCCTCCCCTGGAACCAATCATGTTTGTTCTCTAAGTCTTCGAGTCTGCTTCTGTCTTGCAAATAAGTTCATCTGTATCACTTCTTTTCAGGTTTTGCATATAAACAATATCATATGATATTCCTCTTTCTGTGACTTCACTCAGTATGACAATCTCTAGGTTCATGCTTGTTGCTGCAAGTGGCATTATTTCATTCTTTTTAATGGATGAGCAATATCTCATTATATATATACTATATATACACCATGTCTTCTTTATCCATTCCTCTGTTGGTTGATATTTAGGTTGCTTCCCTGCACTGGCTATTGTAAACAGTGCTCCAGTCAACATTGGGTGTATGTATCCTTTCAGACTGTGTTTTTCTCTGGATATCTGCCCAGGAATGGGACTGCAGGATATGGTAGCTGTTTTTAAAGGGAACTCCATACTGTTCTCCATAGTGGCTGTATTAATTTAAATTCTCAATTTAAGTTTAAACGGTATAGGAGAGTTCCTTCACTTCAGATACGTCTAACCTAGCTCCTTGCTTTAATCCAGGGCACACTCTCTTTGGCAAAATGCCACCTCTGACTTCACTTGGGATGGGAGCCTTGAGGTTTTTATTTTTTTTTGCCTTGAGATTTTTAAATGAAAATTCCCATATGCTGCAACTACTTGAACCAGCCTGCTGCAACTAGCAAAGTCCCCCGTTAGGATTAAAGACTTTCACTGCTGTTGCCTGGGTTCAATTCCTGGTGAGAAACTAAGATCTTCTAAGAGGTTGTCGCTAAGTGTTGTCCAGCTCTTTTGAGACCCCATGGACATTAGCGCCCCCCGCCCCAACCCCCTCGCCTCTAGACTCCTCTGTCCATGGAATTTCCCAGGTGAACATACTGGAGTGGGTTGCCATTTCCTCCTCCAAGGGATCTTCCAGACCCAGCGATTGAGCCTGCAACTCCTGTGCCTCCTACATTGGCAGGTGGATTCTTTACCACTAAGCCACCCGGTAGCCCATACCGTGGCTTACCTCTTTCATTTGGCTATTCCTCAGTTGTATTCTTATAACAAACCTGTAAAGTAAGTGAGGTGTTTTCCTTAGTTTTGTGGGACGTTCTAGAAAATTTGTGAACCTAACTGGTACAAAGTGGCAAAAGAAAACAAAAAATTCCTTACTACCGCCCACTCTCTAACATGCCTAAATTCAGAACAGCTCAATAAAGTAAAAATACTACACTTACAATGTCTACTCCCTCTCTTAACTATTCCTTTAGTCTTAAAATTTCCCCGGGATGCACACCATGCTCTGCGAAGCACCAGTTTAAAGGAAAGATTCCTAGAGCCTGGGAAGCCGGCTCGTCTTCAGTTTTTCCTCAGGGCTGGAGCAGCGGTCCACTGTTCGTTCCCACTTAGCCCCAAATACAGTGGACTGGTCCTGGCCGCGTAAAGTGCAGCAGAGGTTGTAGCCCAACTAGGACAAGACCCGGAACAAGAAGTAATTTCCCCTCTGGAGGCTAGAAAGCGGAGATTCCACCTCACTGCCTCGGATAGAAGGGAAACCGGAACACTTAGCAGGCACCCGGCGTGAAGTGGAGGGTGGGAATGTTGGTGCAACGCAGCAACAGGGACGCTGGGGCTGGCGGAGGCCGGAAATCGGCATCTGGACCTTCTTCGGGCCGGAAGTGAGAAAGGCGGGGCTTGTCCTGTTCCAACAGACACTAGGCGGCCCTAGGGAGCGTCAGTATGGGGAAGAGTGTCTGTGTAACACTGCGGGCTGAGCGGAGAGAATGGGATGGGCGGGGTGTCGGTATAGAGGCGTTTGGGAGGGACGCGTATTGCTGTGACACTGCGGGGACTCTCTGTGGGGACGGGTGTCGGTGTGGCACCAGTGCACGCTGAAGGAGCCGGCGGAACCGGGTGGCCATGGGGTTGTGGGCATTGCTGGACGCGATGTGGGAGATGCCGGCCGAGAAGCGTATCTTCGGGGCCGTGCTGCTCTTCTCCTGGACGGTGTATCTCTGGGAGACCTTCCTAGCACAACGGCAGGTGAGCTTAGACAGGGCCCACCTGGCCCCGACACCCGGCCTGCCTTCGGCCAGCCTTGTTCTCCACTCCAAGTCCCTGGATGATTGCTGCGGCCACAGCAGCAGCCTTGACCTGATGGGTCCCTATGAGCCTCCTAGCTTGGCCCGATGGCGGGGTAGGCCTTGAGGGAATCTGGTGCTTCAGGATGTTTTCCGCAACGTGGTCATAGGCCCCAGGCCGTTTAGGGCCTGATAAAAGGGGAATCAGGGCTTCCGCCTTGTCAGCCCTGAGCTCTTGTATCTGCCCCACAGCTTCCTGAAGATTCTCGGACCCAGACTTACCTGCTTTATGTTTGGCAGCAACCCATAAGCCTTTAGAAGGAAGGTGCTGAAAGTTTAGAATCACAGCTTCCCAATGACATTTGTGTCTCGCTTAACGGTAGGACTAGGAAGCCGTTTTCTGAAAATAAAGATTTCTCAGTCCTTCCAAGGACCTGAACTCTTTTCCCTTAAAAAAAGAAACAAGTATGTTGGTTTTTGCCTAAAGAACAGTATTTTCTTAAAAGCATATTTATTGTTTTTGTTCAAGCAGTAAAGTAGAAAGTGAAAGTTACCTAGTAACAGTTCCCTGGAGATAATCAGAATTAACAGTTTGATGGATTACAGATCTGAAATTTTCTTTTTCTGGCAGCACGGTACTGCTTGAGGGATCTTAGTTTCCCTACTCACCCTGGCAGTGGAAGGGCAGAAGTCCTAACCACTTAACCACCAGGGAATTCCTGAAATGTGAACTTTGAAGTAAGATAGATTTTTAAGTGTAATTGACCATTTTAATTGACCAGTCTTTCACTGCTGGTTTTCTTCTATGCTGGCACTGAATTGTCACCTGTGATGGTTAGGAAAACCTTTCCTTTTTTAACTGTTGGAACCTTTTTCTTGAGCATTACTTTCTTTTTCCTCTGCAATTTTTTCCTCTCAGATTGCATTCTATATGAATCTTTAAATCAAAATTTTAAGTTTTCTATGTCATGTCTGGATTCTATCTAGATTTCTTTTTTTTAGTCCGCGATATTCAAAGAGGTGTTAAACTGTATAGCACTAGGTTCTCTGACTAAGCTCTTAGGATAGCTTCATTAGTACAGAATCTTGAGGCCTAGAGAAGTACCTTTGCAGAAAGTAAGCACACAGGATCTAGTGTCTAAATTGAAGATGGGGTATTGAACATCTACCTATCTTTAATAATAAGCCTAGTTATGGTAACTACTTTTTGGTAGTCTTCTTTATTCAATTATGCTTTAATGTAATGCCAGTTATCAAGGGTTTGTTAAGGTGTCCAATAATACAGAAAAGCCATTTGTTACAAAACCATTGTATAAAATGCTGTCCATTATATTATTTGGAATCTGTTCCCTCTATTATGTACCATGGGCTGAAATTACTTTTTAGAGTTTGGTATAATGAGTTTCTTTCTTGAAGACCTGATCTGTTTCTGTCATTTCTCAAATTTCCCTTAATTTGGCTTCTAGAATCAAATTTAATGACTAGCTCCAGTAGCTGTTAATACTCATGGTTAGCATATTTACTTTCTTCTATCCAGAGATTCGATTTCTGTGTTATAGGGTATATGTTATTCCTGGAATGATTGGTAGCCTTTGTAACGTTACAATTTTGGTTTACCTGTGCAAACTTAAGTGTGATGACAGCTTTGATTTTAATTTCACCTGGTCAACTAGTTTCAGGTTTTCTCCTTTTACTTTCTTCTACCAGTTGTTTTAGTGGTCAGTGTATTTGACCAAATGCAGTATTTGTGCACGTATAGAGCAAATTCTGAAACTCCAATACTTTGGCCACCTCATGCAGAGTTGACTCATTGAAAAAGACCCTGATGCTGGGAGGGACTGGGGGCAGGAGGAGAAGGGGACAACAGAGGCTGAGATGGCTGGATGGCATCACCGACTCGATGGACATGAGTTTGGGTAAACTCTGGGAGTTGGTGATGGACAGGGAGGCCTGGCATCCTGCGATTCATGAAGTTGCAAAGAGTCGGACACGACTGAGCAACTGAACTGAATGGAACTGAACTGAGAGCAAATTCATCAGGCTTAAGTGGCAAGTTAATGTTATAAGCCAGTCAATGTTTCATTGTAAACAACTATTGTAATAAGTAACAAGTTGACTTAACTGTTTCCTTAAGGTGTTTTCTTCAAAATATTTCAGAGACGGGTATATAAAACTACAACTCATGTACCGCTGGAGTTAGGACAGATCATGGATTCAGAAACATTTGAGAAATCTCGACTGTATCAGCTGGATAAAAGTACTTTCAGCTTCTGGTCAGGACTCTATTCAGAGGTTGAAGGCACTGTGAGTACCTTACTTCTTGGAGAGACAGTCTCTCAAATTATTTAATACCTTGTAATGTTTATTTTCATTTTTGTGTTTTGTGACACAAAAGAGGGTAGGTACCACACCTACAAATCCCAGAATACTTTCTTAACCTTTATTGTTGATAGTAATGAGTGGGAGCAAAAGAGGCAGAAACATAACTGTCTATAAACAGTTGAAAATTGTGGACTATGGTAACTGTCACCCTGAGGCCATGTATGAAAAAGAACCTTACATTGTAAGTTATTTTTGTAACAATTTCAGCTTGTCTTCTTGCTTCACTCATAACTCTAACCCTTTCTCCACATTGCAGCCCAAGGAATCCTGAAGCACAATTCTGATCATGTTATTCTGCATAAAACCTTTTGCTGGCCCACTGTTTCCTTCAGAGTAAAGTCTAAATTTCCTGGCATGATTTAAGAGGTCCTTTTGACTGGGGCATTGGTTACTTGAGCCTCATCTTTTTATTCCTTCCCCCAAATTCTTCCCACTTTTTTATTGTCCATCTCACACCCAGATTGGTTTCTTATGACCTTGAGTCTTTTCACATGCTGGTATCTCTGTCTGGGCTGCCCTTCCTGTCCCCGATCATGTCCACTCTTGCACTGGGGCCTGATTAATCCCTATTCTTTCACTAGAATCCAGCTGAGACATCATCTTTTCTAAGAAATTCTTTGAAATTTCCCCATCCCTCAAGTCTGGGTTAGGCAGCATCCCATTATTATTCCCATCAGAGTACTTACTTGGCACATTGTATTGAATTTGCCTGTTTGGATTACAGACTGGTAGTTCCTTAAAGACAGGGTACTTTAAAGTCTTGTTCATCATTTTATAGCTAGTATCTGACATATAGTAAGCATATAATTCATATTTACTGAGTGAAGTAATGAGTGACAGATAGATTTTACTTAGTAAAACAGGGCCAGTCTTTCTCCATACTAAAAGAAGAGAGGCTATACAGTACCGAGCCGTTTCTCTGTCTTCTTCTTGTGATCTTTCCTGGCCCCTGACCCTGGTACTTTTTTAGCCAATTTTCCTAACTGCCCCTCCACAGATATCTGTATGTCTGTTTCTGTACTGTTTGTGTATATAAAAGTGTGCTTTACACATAAAATGAGTAAGATTTTTTCACGACCACACCCATAAGACTGATTCTTGGTTTTCCACCCCTGAGAACCATGAACCCTGGAGAAGGAAATGGCAGCCCACTGCAGTATTCTTGCCTGGAAAATCCCATGGACAGAGGAGCCTGACAGGTTATGTCCATGGGATCACAAAGAGTTGGACATGACTGAGCAAGTAAACAGCAGGAACAATAGAAAATGCATGCTGTTGAGGTTAAGAGCTGACTGAACTGCAGTGGCTTGAGTTTGAATCTGAGCTCAATCATACTAGCTTTGTGACCTCAAGCAAGTCATTCAGCATTTCTGTGCCTAAAATTTTCCATTAAAATCGTATGGTAATAATAGTTCCTCATTCATATGTTGTTCAGAGGATTGAAAATTATTTAATATATGTAGGATGCTTAGAACAATTCCAGATCCACTGTAAGATGCTCCGTAAGTGTTGTCTATTGTGTTTTTTATCATCATAGTCATGGTTATCACTGTGGCCCCAGAATTCTTTTATTTACATTTTTATTATTTTTATTTATTTATTTTTTAAAGACAGATCTGCTATTCTTTATCCATTTATAAAACTTAGTTTAAAACTCAGCACCATTCTGTTATTCTGAAATGTGACTCATTCTATGTATCTATCATATATCTAACTGAGCCAAAACACCATACTCTATTTATTTCGTTAGGCACAAAATTAAGTTATAAAACTTAAATTTTATTGACATTTTTAAGAGCTACTATTGATAAATAGTACAATATAGAGTGATATATACTTGAATAGAATCCACAAGTTTATATTCATGAAAAATGGATATATATTCTTTTTTAAAAAATAGACTAGGCTATTTTTTAGAGCAGTTTTAGGTTGACAGCAAAACTGAGTGAAAAGTACAGACATCCCCATACACCCCGAGCCCCCACATATGTGCAGAACTCTCCCACTGTCCACATCCTGAGTCACAATGACATGTTTGTTTAAATGGATTAACCTACACTGACACATCGCTATCACTCAGAATCCATCATTACATTACCATTGCCCTTGGTGTTTTCCATTCTGTAGGTTTGGACAAAAGTATAATGACAAATATTCACCATTACTGTACCATACAGAATAGTTTCACTGGCCTGTGCTCTGCCCGTTCGTCCCTGCCTGCCCTCTCATCCTCAGCGACAACCGATCTTTTTATTATTCCCATAGTTTTATGTTTTCCAGAATGTCATGTAATTGCAGTCTTACAGCTTATAACCTTTTCAGATTGAGTGCCTATTACTTGAGTGCCTATTACTAAGTCTCCTGTTTCTTTTCATGGCTTCATTTTATATTCTTTTTGAGAGAATACTCTGTCATAATTTCTCCAGAACTCTTTTAGATCCCTTAGTATCACTAAGAGAAAGATTCCTAAATTGAAAATAAGGTTTTAGGTACTTTCACGGTAAGCATCTTTGCTGCAAACATTTTCTTCACATAACCAATTGACTGTAAGGCATTTTTGCCATAAAAGATAAAATAATGAAAAATAAGAGAGACATTAAAAAGGACATAATGAAGCATGTAAAATTAATACCAAAATTAAGAAGACATTATTGCAAAATGTAGAACATTTGAATGCATTTAAAATGTGTGTGAATTCATGTCAATACTGTGTAAGAACTAATATTATTTTGTGAATTGTATATAAACATTTTTGTCTTCCAAGTCTTTTGTTCATAGTATTGTATACTTTTTTCTTGTTGATTTGTTTCATTGTTTAGTATCGCACTTTTTCACTAAAACTTATTCCTTTGTTAAGAGAAGTATTGGTTTATAAATACTAGGATGCATATTTGTAACTGAGCCCTGTATTGCTTTGTTAAAGCCTCTATACTGTATTTTTTTCTGGTGTACTGTAATATGTCCACTGATAGATGTTCCAAAATTCTATGGAAAATATGGGTTCAACTGTGCACCTTTGAGATGTTCAATACCTCTTTCACCTGTGAAGTAGTGTGTTTCAAAGTAAGAAGCCAATTCAGTAAAGCCATCAATAACATCACTAACTGCAGGTTATGCTAACTAATTTTAGGCAGTTGAGACCAAACTGTCAACCCCCAAACTGTCAACCAGTTGTTTTATCTTTCACAAGAAATTTCACTTACAGCCAGTTTGTTATGCAGTGAAAATGTTTGCAGCAACATATTTAAGGCAAAGAAGCTTATGGCAAAAATACAGACATGGGAAAGTAATTGAGATTGGCTACCATAATTGTTTAATCAGTTAAAGAAACCAGCTGTTTGTGGCTTTGTTAAATGATTATGGAATTGTCTAGTAAGTCACAAAATTTGCATTGACAAACATGTATTGTTAAGACTAGTATGGTTAGAACCGAGTTGTTAGGAACCTCTCTAATTTCCTTAAGAGTATGGAAAATGGCAAAGATTCTGGAAAAGTTAAATCTTGGCATTTTAGAAAAATTAATAAATGGTCTGAAAAATAAAATTATATTGCCTTTTAGGGTACAGAGTGATTCCTAGTAATTAGTCTTTTCAGAATTGACTTTTTATTATATTTTTACTCGTCCAAGCCACGTTTATTTACTGAGATATTGAGGATTAATATTAAAACTCAGTCCCTTCCAGCTAAGCCAGGAAAGGTATACATGTGTGATATATGTGGATTGTATCTGGTTTTGGCTAATTTATCTTCTTCTATCAGAGACATGGTCCAAGTAGGAAATCTGCCGTCAGATGGAAGTAGAAGGGCAGAATTTAGACACTGTCCTCTTCCCTCATTGATGTTTGATTCTTTGAAATTCATTCACTTGCCCCTACAAGGCCACTATACAATGACAGGGGAAATATTTTCAGTCTCCTTAGCTGTCACGTAATCGGTTCTAGGAAAGATGTGTAGTAGCTTGTTTATTATGCTTAGTGGCCATGAGAATGGCTCAGTTTGTTCTAGGAGATGACAGAGGTAGGGAGAGTCCATATATAGAATGAGAGACCTTTGTAATGTGCTACGGCTCAAACTAGAAGCTGTACTGATGGGCTAAAGCTGGGAACAGTAACAGTCATCTTCATAATAATTGTATGGGTTGTGATTTTCACTTCATGTATTTCTTTTATATTTATTGTTTTGTTTGATGTTTACAACAGTGCTCTGAGGTTCTAGAAGGGCTTCCCAGGTGGCACTAGTAAAGAACTGGCCTGTCATTGCAGCAGACGTAAGAGACACGGGTCCAGTCCCTTGGTCAGGAAGGTCCTCTGGAGGAGGGCATGGCAACCCACTCCAGTATTCTTGCCTGGAGAATCCCCTGGACAGAGGAGCCTGGGGGTACAGTCCATAGGGCCGCACAGAATTGAACATGACTGAAGCGACTTAGCCACACACACATTGAGGTTGAAAGTATATAGGCGTTATTATTCTCTTTTTATGGATGAGAAAGCAAAGGCTCAGAGAAATTAAACAGCTTGACCATATAATGGCCAGGTGACACTCACTGCCAAATGAGAAAATGGAGTTTCAGACTCTGTTCTTCTGAATCTAAAGAAGAAACCATTCTTGAAACTCTTGGGGCTGCAACATGGATATAGTAAATTTACCCTTGGGGAATTCGCAAACTATATTTGCCATTAGATAAGAAGCGTTTTGTGTTACTTTGAAATCCTGTTCTGTTTGAAAGCAAATTCATTAGTTCCCATTTTGTGTTGATTAAAATTAATTGGTTTGTAAGCTTTGGTCACAAAGAAAAAGTACAAAGATTAAATTAGACTTTTTTTTGCTGTGCTACTTTCTATCCAAGGGAATGTAAGAGGCCCATGTGACCAGTTACAGATGCCACTGTTCACACAAATGTGACAGAGCACCCAGGTATAAAATGTCTCCCCTCTCTGAGACAAACTTTCCTGGTATCTCATAGGTGTCACTAAAGAGTCCTCTCAAGAAATGGAATGAAATGGTTGGAGAGTAGAGTAGGGTAGAGTGGAAGAATTTCAAACTAGCTTCTCTAATTTCTGATCACTTCTGAGTAAGCAGTTCATCCTCTTTGAGTCTCATTTTTTCTCCTCTTTTAAGATGAGAAGCAGATTGATTAATACCATGTTTCATATGGTTTGTGGCAAGGACTGAGTAAGGTAATATAAATGAAGCAATTAGTACAGTACTCAACACAAAGCAATGACTTAGTCATTGGGTTTCTCTGGGCAAGTTACTTTAACATTTATGAGTGTCAGTCGCCTTATCAGATAGAGATTACTGTGCTCCCTAGCCTGGCTGCTTTTCAAGACTTTAGTGAAATAATATATGTGAAAGCAGGTAGGTGACTTGTTTTTCTTGGCATCGTTAGTTCTTTTTGAAGGACATCCTATCTATACAGAGAAACTTTACCGTTGGCTGTGTTTTGTTTTTCATTCCCCAAAGCATGCTAAACAACATTAGCAATAGCTATTTCCAAATGCATTCAGAGTTCATATTAAAGCTACCCTTGATAATTACTTAAAAGCTGGACTTTTAATCATAGGTGTCCCAGCCTTTTCCCCAAAGCATTATAAATCCTTAATTCTGCATTATTTATTAGTATTGAGAATAGGATGAAGGAAATGCCATTCCAAGTCAATTAGTTCAACAAGTGGAGCATATACCACATAAAATGGTGCCAAAGCATGTCCTCTGGGAAAATAGTTTATACCCAAGATTGAGTTAGTTAAAGTGGAAATGACTGGATGTAGAGTTAAGGGGGCCTTACTTTTAAAAAGCGGTTTATTAAAATAGTGATTTTCAGACTTTGGTTGTACATCACATATAACTGGAGACTGACTCTCGGGCCCCTCTCCCAGTTTCTGATTCTGGTTCTAGGGTGGAGCTGGAGACGTATTTCTAACAGATTCCCAGGCAAGGCTGATGCTGCTGTCCAGAGACCATATTTGAAACCTGTGGTATTATGTCAATCCCCTGCATACTGGTAAAACTCCAAAAGATGGGGACTTCTCTCGTGGTCCAGCAGTTAAGAATCTGCCTTGCAGTGCAGGGAATGTGAGTTCGATCCCTGGTTGGGGAACTAAGATCTCACATGCTGCTGGGCAGCTAAGTCCACACAGTATAACTACTGAGCCTGTGTGCCGCAATGAAAGATCCCATGTGCAGCAACTAAGACCTGAGGTAGCCAAATAAATATTTTTAAAAATCTGAAAGATGAATAGATCAAGTATGAGTGAGATAGTGGGGAAAACAGGAATGCTCTAATGGAAGTGTAATTTGGTATAAATGCTTTAGAGAACAGGCTGATGATACCAAATAAAGTTAAAACTCACCATGTATGTATCTAGAAAGATGTAGAGTGTAAAAAGTAAGTTGTAGAATGATAAATACAATATGATCTCATTTATATATATTCTTAAAAGGCATAGGTAAACCATTGTATTAGGCTTTCCTGGTGGCTCCAGTGGTAAAGAATCCTCCTGCCAAGCAGGAGATGCAGGTTTGATCCCCGGGTTGGGAAGATCCCCTGCAGAAGGAAATGGCAACCCACTCTAGTATTCTTGCTTGGGAAATCCCATGGACAGAGTAGCCTGGCAGGCTACAGTCCATGGGGTCAGACAGAGTTGGACATGACTTAGCAACAAAACGATACCAGTAGCGCCAAACCACTATGTTATTTATGGATATATAAATGGAAAGTGGGTTGGAAGGACACCTGTGCAATATATAATAATGCCCCAAACTCTCAAAGCCACAAGGAACCATGTCTGAATGGATGGGAATATTGTGCTTCTAACCAAGGAGTGTGATCATTGTGTTTCCAAGGCTCCATGAGTGAAGAAACAATATGTTGACGACTCTGGCCAAAGTGCTTCCACAGACTTGGTATTTGTTGTGAGAAGTCGTGTTTCGTAAGCATATATCCTTTTCACATTTTAAAAGCTGCTCCCTCATTCATATGTCCTGTTGGTTTGGTGGATATCTCTGTTCTCTTTATCTTCTCAAGACAAAGGGTGGTGCTGAGAAAGGGGCCTACTCCTGTGAAACCCTGATTCCCACCTCAGGATTCACTTTTTCCTTATCGAAAGATGACTCTGATAGCCTATTCTGTTCCCAGGTTTGATAGGTGGACATGTTTAGTTACACCAATACTAATACTTTGTCCTAACCGAGAGAGCTGTTTCCTTTCAAGGAGAAGCCAGTTATGGAGCCATAGAGCCTGGCTTAAATCCCATTTCTGTCACTCATAGAATTTTTGATAAGTTGACTCAGTCATTCTAAGCTTAGTTCCTGATTCTTAAGGTCTTTTGTGGTCTTTTGACAACAGTTTTTTTTTTTCCTCTCTCTCTCTAAACAGCTTTATTGAGATAAAATAACATATACAATTCATCCATATAAAATGTATAGGCAAAAAACTTTTGCTTAACAGTCTAACCTTAGTATATCAGTTGGTTTGTATTTGTCTAAATGTGTATTTTATCCTAAATAAGATAGAGCATCTCTCTTTTTTTTAACATACTCTCATATGGTAGTTTCTAGTACTGTTTAAATGTGACCAACATATGCTTTGTTTTACAGCTTATTCTTCTCTTTGGAGGAATTCCGTACCTCTGGAGACTCTCTGGGCGCTTCTGTGGTTATGCTGGCTTTGGACCAGAGTATGAGGTATGTCATTCATTAGCATATATTTTCAGTCTTTTCTTCTTCCTTGGCCAGCTTTCTACTCAAGTTAATTTTTTGGCATCTACCTAATGAAGGCTTCTCTGTGTAGTTCTCATCCACTTATGTTAAGATAATGCACATTACTGTAGTAAACTCCTGAATTTCAATGGTTTATCACAGTAGTTTATTTCTCAGTCACATAATAGTCCAGTGTGAGTATTTTGGGAGTCAACAGGTGACATCCTTTTATGTGGTAAGCCAGAGACCCAGTCTTTTCTTATATGGCTCTGCCATTCCCTAAGTTCCCCTGTGTTCTCTGCATCCAACAGGCAAAAGGAATGAGAGGGTGGAGAAAGTGCATCCCCTTCTTAACTCCCTTGGCTCCGAAGTGATACCTGTCCTTGACATTCACGTTTCAGTGGTGAACCAGTCACTTAGTCTCAGATGCAAGGGAGCTAGGTAATGTAGCCTCTGGGTAGGCATCTGATTCTTAGAAACCACTCTGTGCAATCAGTGAAAAGTGAAGCATGAATTTTGTTGAACTTAATGCTAAGCAGATCACTGTGATACACATGTATAGCAGATACTTTGAACAGAGACAGAATATATCTCCTAGTATCTCCACTGAGCTCCTTGAGTTGGCGGCCCACTGTTCTGGGAATTCTAGGAACAATGTTGGAATCAAAGCCTTAGATCTGAGACTTTGCCTGTAGTGGATGCTGGGACACTGTTTTTGACTTTTTCTCAGTAATTAGTCTGTTCTGTTCTTCCTGTTTATTTGAAATGATGCATCTCTTCAACATGACATGTGTAGATACCTTGGGCTTTAATTCAGCTCATACTGAGTCACTTTTTGTATACCATTTTCTAAGGAAGCCAAACTCTTTTAAGACCTCTTCTTCCTGTGATATCTCTGTGTCTTTGTAGACATGTCCTGACCTGCCATTGCACTATTGCTGTTTGCTTGCTTGTTCTCTGCATTGTTTTGTAAACAGTTTAAGGTGGTTTTCTGTAAACATGACTGGTTTCTAAGAGGCCTTCTTTGACCACTATCAGCTAAAATAGCATCCCTCTGTCACTCTTTAGTGAAGCACATCACCTTATTTTATTTTCTGTACAAATGTGTTTACCACTGTCTGCATTTATCTTTGCTGTCTGAGCCACCAGGGAAGCCCTCCGTTTATCTTGTTGTTTATTTATTTACTTCTGATCTATCACCCGGACAAAACTTTTAGGTTATAAGGGGACAGAGATCTTCCATATTTTCTTCACTGATGGGACTTGTGCCTAGAACAATGCTAGTCACAGAGTAGGTACTTCATAAATATTTGTTGAGTTAATGAACCCAATCTATATACATACATATAAAAATATTCCTTACCTTAACAGGAAGTTTTTTATATAATGTTCTTAGATGTTATCTTTGCATTTAACAATGTTTTAGAGCTCTCTTTCTGTCTGTGTATATAGATCTTCATTTTCTTTGATGGGTACATGGTACTGGCAGCAGTCCTGACTCTGCACCATTCTGATATACACACATTTCAGTTTCCCTGGTTTAGTTAATAACACCAGCGCCTCAGCAGTTTCAAATTTCACTTACCAAAATATGTTATATGTGTAACTGCATAAAGCACAAGTTCCCTGCTAGCTCTTCAGTTCATAAATCGCTGTGCAAATGACAGACGCTCATGCAGTGACTGATCACATCACTCTTTTCAGATTCTGCCAGTGACTGGTCACTGCCCAGCTGCTGCTCAGTGATTCAGAGTGTGCAGTTGTCTTGTCTCCTGTCTCCCAGCTATGAACCCACGTGACATTTTACAAAGATGGATCATTGAAAGAGGGAATTGGCCAACAAAGATGAAAGTATAGGGACTTCTCTGGTGGCCCAGTGGTTAAGAGTCTGCCTTCCAATGCAGGGGACGTGGGTTCCATCCCTGCTCCGGGAACATCTCACGTGCCGCAAAGCAGCTCAGCCTGTGTGTGACATGACAGGAGAGCCGCTGTGCTCTGAAGCCCATGTGCTACAGCTGGAGAGGAGCCTGCAGGCTGCAGCAGAGAGCCTGTGTACCACAGCTAAGACCCGATGCAGCCAGATGAATAAATACTTAAAAAGAAAGTAAAGACATGAAAGACGATAACATTGGTATTAAAATTCACATCTAATGTACATGGTATAGAGGAAGTAGCTGACCAAATTCCTACCTGAAACAGCTCTTCTTGGTTTATGTTTTTTCATAGTGTATGAAGTACTAAAATGCCTCTTTCTTGGGTCCCGACAGTACTTATTATATACATGACATTCTTATTTTTGCCAGTTGGACAGGGAGAAAATATTATTGTACTATTATTTCATATAACTTATTGTTGAATGGAAAAGTCAGTAATGAAGCAGCATATGAAAGTAAAAGTATGTGTGAATATCCATACAGATATTTCATATAAGTAGTGTCCTAGTGATGAATATTTAAGTTGGTTCAATTTTCCTTGATTGAATATAGAGGTGTCCATTGTTGTAGACAGGTTTCACATCTATAAGAAACCTGAACTAGTACATACCAAAATTCAAAAAATAGTTTCCTCTGGAGAGAATTTTGGCAATTTTTATTTCCTTATTTTTGCTTATCTCTTAAGAAAATTCAGTAATGAGCATGTACTTCTTATATAATGAAAACCAAATTCTTCACTAAAAAAAGAAGAGAACAAAGTGGACCTCAACCTATCCTTAGGCATAGGTAGTGTGTTTTTTGGCAGGACTTTCTGCTTTCCAGGATTCCCTGATAGCTTAGTTGGTAAAGAATCTGCCTGCATTGTGGGAGACCTGGGTTCGATCCCTGGGATGGGAAGATCCCCTGGAGAAGGGAAAGGTTATCCACTCCAGTAAACTGGCCTAGAGAATTCCATGGACTGGATAGTCCAGGGGGTTGCAAAGAGTCAGACACGACTGAGTGACTTGCACTCACTTTTCTGCTTTCCAGAATACCAACAAGTGGTCTCACAATTGGTGTCCTTACTTTTTGACAGTGAGATTTGGCCCAGCCTTTTCCAGCAAGTGCTCAACTTAAAGACTCAGAATGCTCCAGAGTTCTGTTGCCATGTTGTGAATATGAGCTGGAATGAGTCGGTTCATCTCACACAAGAGGTGAAGTGTGCCATCAGGCCATTTTGGCCTGGATCACTCCACCCTCACGGCAGAGGACTTTATAATACTCTGTCTGGAACCTTAAGTTATTCACTTATGGGGCTACAGCCCAGATCTTTTTGCCTTTGAGAGGCTATAAGTCAAAACCCTTTCCCCTCATTGCCCAGTAGATCTTGTTTCTAAGATATTTTCTCCTTTCTGAGTTAGAATTAGGGTTCTTCTGAGAAAAGGTCCTGGGCGTTTGTGTATTCTCCAGTTTTCCCAATGTGACTGTCACACCTCCTTTTTTCAACTAGAGTATTAATATCTTCCTTAACTCAATCATCTTCCTTAAATAGTAGCTTGCAGTTATCTGTTAGAAGTAGAAGGGTCTTAGAAAAGAGTAGTGAAAAGTAGTATTTTGGGATTGGATTATGAAAATCGTTAAAAGCGTAATGAGTTTGCAGTCTTTTAGAGCCATTACAAGTTTTTCAAGTAGAGAAGTGGCATTTTAGATTCATCTGATGTGTATGTAGGATGGATTGGAAGGGGAGGGATTGATAATAGGCAGGGAATGGTGCCGGCTGTTTTAGTGTTTAAGGCAAAATAATTTAAAACACCCTTGGAATCTTAGTGTTTAAGGGGGAAATAAGCTCAGTGATTAGGGAATTAGACATTAATTAATTAATTATTTGACTACATCACACGTGGGATCTTTGTTGCAGCACCCAGACTCTCTAGTTGTGGCACATGGGCTCTGGAGCTTGTGGGCTTCAGAAGTTGCAGCAAGCATACCCTATACCAAGATTACATTATGCTCTATTATTTAATATGGTTATATTTTTTGAAGATGGGATTCTGACTCGGTAATTTTGAAGAAGGTCCTGGAATCTGTTTTTGTCTGTTTTTTTAAAAAGTATCTCATTTTCCATTTGGGGACAAATGTTGAAATAAATCACCTGCATGTTGTAGCCAAATTTCCTTTCTTCCCATTCCCTTCTCCCTTTTTCTATGCTTAGAAACATAGTGGCTGCATCTTCACTACCAAATCAAATATGCTTTGGTGGTATGCTCCCATTTAAAAGAATTCAGTTTTAGGGGCTTCCCTGGTGGCACATTGGATAAGAATCTGCCTGCCAATGCAGGAGACACAGGTTTGATCCTAGTCCAGGAAGATCCCACATGCCTTGGGGTAACTAAGCCCGTGTACTGCAACTATTGAGCCTGTACTCTAGAGCCAGTGAGCTGCAACTACTGATCTACCGGCCGCAGCTGCTGAAGCCTGCAAGCCCTATAGCCTGTGCTCCACAGGAGAAGCCACTGCATTGAGAAGCCTACACACCGCAACTGGAGAGTAGCCTGTGCTCACAGCAACTAGAGAAAAACCCATACATCAATGAAGACCCAGCACAGCAAAAAATTAATTGATTTTTTTTTAAAAAAAGAAAGAATTCAGTTGTCCACTGCGGAGTAAGAGGGAGAGTGATAATGTGGTTGGAGGGAAGGAGAGGGTTCTGTTTGCTTCATTGCCCTTTCCCTCTCCCTACAAGTCCCTTTATGCTAATTAGCCCTTGTCCTCCACTATCATAGGAAAGTGTTTGTGAAGAAAAATGAGGCAGTTCTCAGCTTTTGCTTTCCTAAGGATCTGTTGTAAAGGCAATGAAAGGAATCCTTGAGAACAATTGTCTCTATTGGATTTGGGCTCTGTGAAAGTTTCAGCACACTCTGCCCCACCTGCCCTGGCCCAGCTTTTCTGATGCTCCATTATGTTTCTCCGCCTGGTCCCAACCAGGCACATCATCTTGTCAACTTTCACTTTCAGGACGCTCTTTTCTTTCTCCTTGCTTTTTCAAATTGTGTGGAATTTCTCTTTGTCTTTTCTGTTCCACTAATTTATCTCTTTCTTCAGAGTAGCACTCCAAGTCTCATCAGCTTTGTAAACCTCTTGAATTCATTAGTGTATGTGGCTTCTCTCATTTTTAAGTTCTTTTAATCATTTTGCCTGTATGACTTCAAGTTAACTTTCATATGGTGCTCGTGTAATTAAAGAGGTATTTTATTGCCTCCCTATCTTACAAATAAGCCCTGCGGGTGGAGGTGATGTTTTAGACCTTGTGTCACCCATAGAATCAAGCACATTGCTTGAGTTATAGTAAGTACTTAGTGTATACTCATAGATTTGTTCCCTAGTAATTTGTTTGAAGAATGAATTAATATTTAAAAACTGCCTTTTTTTCTCTTGTGTTTAGATCAGTCAGTCCTTGGTGTTTCTGCTGTTGGCTACACTTTTCAGTGCATTGACTGGTTTGCCATGGAGTCTTTATAATACTTTCGTGATAGAAGAAAAACATGGTTTTAATCAACAGGTAAAATAGAGAATGCAAATGTTGTCTTTTCAGTGCGAAGATCTTTTGTGCTTTTGTCCTCTACTAGTAGTAATTAAAACATAATTTGCTATTTTGGAGAAGGCAATGGCAACCCACTCCAGTATTCTTACCTGGAGAATCCCATGGACAGAGAAACCTGCCAGGCTATAGTCCATGGGGTCACAAAGAGTCGTACACGACTGAGTGACTAACAACAACAACAATTTGCTGTTTTAGAGCATGAATTAATCTAGAAAAAAGGAACTGCAGGTATGGTAAAGATCATAGTTTAAGGTCTTGCCATAAATTCTTTTACTACTAACGTCTAGTGTTTTTCAGCTAATAACATTTAAAAATAAGTTTATTTTAAACTGTAAAATGCAAGGCATTGACTTATTGTCTTAGGCTACCTGTTATTATATAGTCTTTATATGACTGCCTTTTCATTTTTAAAATTGCTTTAATGATATATCCTTTGCTATTCACTCATTATTTTAAAAGCAGTTTCTTAGGTTCTTATGATGACTTTTTATTTTTTCAGACTTTGGGGTTCTTCATGAAAGATGCGATCAAGAAATTTGTTGTGACTCAGTGCATTTTATTACCTGTATCTTCACTTCTACTTTACATTATTAAAATTGGGGGAGACTATTTTTTTATTTATGCCTGGCTGTTCACGCTAGTTGTATCTCTGGTGAGTGAAATCTTTGTTTCGATTTTCTTTTACAAAGTGTACCTTGGTGAGATAACTGTGACTTACTCTTTGTTAGCATCTATACGGTTCTTAAGAAGCAGAAGAAATATAAATAGGTGCTCATATAAATTCCCCTTTTGTTTTCTGCTTTTAGCTATAGAAATAGGAGAGCTAACTCTTACCATAGATTTTCTTCTCCTTATACTGACTCTTACAGATTCTAGAAGCTAGTTGTTAGTTACTTTTAATTATCCAGTTGTCAGGCAGTTTGGGGCTGTGCATTTGTGAGTTTCCACCAGAGTGATGACTGACAATTTTGATGACTCTTGACTGAGCTCCAGTGTCTAAAAACCGTCGATATTTTGAAGAGAGAACAGATGTAAGTGGGATGAGAAGAAGAAAGCATAACTGTATTTGCTTTCTTCTGCCCTCCTTCCCCGCCTTTCCCTTCCTCCTCCTTCCCTTTTCCCGCTACCTCTTCTTCCCTGTCCCCTGTGCCCGTCCCTTCTCCCTGTCTCCTCCCTTCTCTCCCCTGCAGCTCCCTTTTCTTCCTTCTCATCCTCCTCCCTCCCCTTCTTCCTCTCCTCTCCCTCATGATTCCTGCCTCACGTCTTCTTTTCCTCTTCTCTTTCCCAAATTCTAAACTTCTTCATGGTACAAACACTACGTACAACAGAGTCAAAATGGTCTATTAACAGCCCCCAGAAAATGCCACCTATCAGCTGCACTCATGATGAGGTTACTGTGGTGCTCATTGCTTCATTCTCAGCTAGTGGATTATAACTGCAAAACGGGTGTTAGTTGGACTTACAAATATATGTTGTATGGCTAATTGAAATGAGAGGAGAGAGAGCACAAGAAATGCTCCCAAAATGCTTAAAGAAGTGCTGTTTCAGCCAGTGTGTACACTTGTGAACTGCAGGTCATTAGTGTTAGCAGGCAAATTAAGCTCTAGTAGTTCTTTTTTTAGCGAACACTTCAAGTCTATTATGATTACCCTGAAAGAATTCCAAGTTATGATGGGCTTATGAAGTGTCAGAAATACCCAAGATAGTTTTGAGCAGACCATTTGTCTTCTTAATTATTATCATCTAGGGACTGCTCATTTTGATTTATTTCATCAAACACATATTAAGTGCTTACTGTCCGATACTATTTGGGGCTGGGAATACCAGAACAAATAAGATAAGGTCCCTGCTTTCAGGGCTTGGAATTACATAATTGTTTTTGTATTGAATTTGTATAGTGAGTTGTTTCTCTTTAAGGACATAATCAGGTCGATCTAACATTTGCTTTTCAGGTGCTTGTCACCATCTATGCTGATTACATTGCCCCTTTATTTGACAAATTCACCCCTCTTCCTGAGGGAAAGCTGAAACAAGAAATCGAAGTCATGGCGAAGAGTATTGACTTCCCTTTGACTAAGGTGTATGTTGTTGAAGGTAAGGCTCCCTGGGGTAAGAAGGTTTTATTTGAGTAATTTGTTTTAGTTGAGTACTTTATTCATAAAACTTTAATAAAAGAGCACATCAGTTGGTTTTGGGGGGTGGGTGGGTGTTTTTGTCCTTTAAAGAGTAGGATTTTCCATTTTGGCTCTTGAAGATTTATAAGAATTGATAACTTAGTCCAGGGATAGAAACTGGTGGCCTGATGCCAAATCCTGCTCTTGCCTCTAGCTGCATTTGTTTGGCTTTACAGTATTGTTAATTCTGGGCGAAGGCCTTTTTCAGTCCTTGTTATGTCATGATACTAGACTGATTTATTCACTTCTCTTACCTACCTGGCTTCTTTAGGTAATTGAATTGGACTCTTGCTTTGTCAGATTCCGTTTGGCACTGGTTTGGGGGCTTGGAAACAAAACCAGTGTTATTGGCTTTATCTCCCCTAAGAAGACTTCCAGTGTTCTGCTAGACTCTGATTTCACATGCAAATTACCCAAGGCTGGTACCACTGAATACTTTATATTATATTCTGCTTTTCTGATGATTACTTTTGAGAGTTAAGCTATCTATGTTAGCTTGTGTAAGACTACTAAAGTCTCAAGGAGTCTTTCATCAAGGAAAGCTGAGTTATCAGTAACCAGAAGAGTAAAGAAATCTTAGACATTTGGTGGCCAACTGAAGGCACAATTGGAACAAGTCTTTGGGGAAATGGTAGAAAAATAAGCCAATGCATACTACTTCTTTAGCCTCTGAGATTATTAGTCTTTTAATTAATATTAAACCAGTAGCACAATGATGAGTGTAGTAGAACAATCTCTGAGGCACTTTTACTGAGGGAGCAACCTAAGTTGCTGACCACTTAAGTTATAATCAGAAAATGTGAATGCTAATTCTATGACAATACAGGTAATTGAGAAGATATGTGAAATATACTGTCAGTACTATATGATGTTAGCTGAAATAGAGAAGGCTTTATGGACGGTTATATGGGACTTTGTGGGGAGAATCAAGATTTGAGTAGGTGGGGATAGCATTTCAGAGGTCAGGTTGTAGAGCCAATAGGCTTGGATTTAAATTCTAGTTCTATCACACAGTCCCTTTTTGACTTTGGGGAACTTACCTCTGCTAAACAGAAGTTACTCATCTGTAATGCATATTTTTGTTGTTAATAATGGTAACAATCCTCAAAAATATTTTGAGTGAATGAATGTTGTCACTAACAGCAACACATATTATGGATTTGTAAACTGAAAGGAAAAACCAAGTGAAAAACTAATATTCTTGATCTCAGAAAATATCAGGGAGCAAGCACTGCACAGAGAATTAAACTGGTGTGAAGTGACGAAGAATGGCTGAGTAGATACTTTAGATTAGGTCATTAGATAAGACTTCTCCGAGCAAATGAATTTAAACTGAGATCTGAAGGAAGGAGCCATCCATGGGGAGACTATCCAGAGCTTGGTATCTTTAAGAAACAGAAAAAAGTCCAGTGTGGCTGCCGCATGGCAGGAAAGTGTTTTGACATAAAATCTGAGACATAGGCTAGAGTCAGACCACACAGGCCTTTATAAATCAGGGTGAGAATCTTGAATTTTCAGTCCACAGATAAGCTGTGGAAGGTTTTAGGCAGGAAAGTGCCATGGCCTGGGTTTTTACTTTGTAACCTATCTCAGGTTGCCATATAGAGAAGGTGGTAGGGAGGCGAGAGGAGTAGCAGGGTGAGCAGTTAGAGGCTGGTGCCGTTCCGGAGAGGAGGTTAATTAGGCCAGAGCAGTCTGTCCTGAGGGCTCAGGGGTAGAGAATCCACCTTCCAGCCTGGGAGACCTGGGCTCCATCCCTGGATCAGAAGATCCCTGGAGGAAGAAGCAGCAGCCCACTCCAGTATGCTTGCCTCGGAAATCCCATGGACAGAGGAACCTGGTGGGCTACAGTCCATGGGGTTGCAAAGAATTGGACACAATTTAGCGACTGAACCACAACAACAGTAGTAATTGATGGAGAGAAGTGGGTGTATCAAGGATGTGTTTTAGAGGTAGGGTTGATGGAATTTGATAATAGATGACATGTAAAAGAATAAGGGAGCTAGAGACCTTAAAGATAATGACTTAGATTTTTGGCCTAAGCAGTTAGATAAATGGTAGGCTACTGAGATGGGAGAAACTGGGAGAAGAACAAGTGTGTGAGTTGGAGTTCTGTTAGGTGTGTTATAATTTGAGATACCTATTGAATATCATACTGGAGTTCTACAAGCAATAATTAGTTGCAAGTCAGCCATAGAAACCAACTATGGCTAATTTAACATGAAAAATTCCTTTTGAAACAATATTTGATAACTCACAACGTCACAGGAAAGTTAAATTTGCCAAACTTGGGAAATGGGCTCTTCACTGGGAGACTAGGAACTCAGAATCACCCTGAAGAACCAGTCTGGTGAGGACACTGATGTTGGAGTTTAGCAGTTTACATCTCTAACATCCCTCCCACTAGTACCTGCAGAATTAATTTCTCACTGTCCTGCTTCCTCGTGTAATTAGCTACTATTCAGAGTCCCCAGTGGGTGCATCTGATGGACTGGGCCAGGGCACTGGGCTAGCTGTCAGGAGTGCTGGGGAAGCAGATATCTAGCTTTTTTGGATTTCTTAAATGAGAAGCAGTCTCTCACAAGTCTTGCATGACGCTAAATTCCCTTAACTCTGCAAGGGGATTCGAATACTGGTCAGGGAAAAAATGACATGTGAGAATATAAACAGGAAAGATGTACTATAGACATTCTTGTGGAGATGTAAGCATGTCAAATAGGCAACTGGATATATGACTCCAGAGTTCTAGGAAGAGGCCAGGGCTGGACATAGTGGTCTGGAAAGTATCTGGCGTGTAGATACTTCCATGGATGAGGGCGTTCAGAGAAGAGAAGGGGGCTCAGGTCAGCGTCAGCAGAGGGGGAAGAGGGGGCAAAGGAGGCTGAGGAGGAGAGACCACTGAGGTAGGAAGAAAATGAGGAGAAGATGGTGTTTCTTCTGGGATAAGAGAAAAAGGTGTTTCAAGGAGGGAATGGTCAATTGTGTCAGATGCTGCTGAGAGGTTGATTAAGATAAGACATCATAAAAAAAAGATGAAGAGACAGCCGGCAGTGCCGTATAGTCACATAGGACATTTTGGTGTTCAGAATTCTCAGATACATTACTTCATACCTCAAATGGTTCGATAAATCTATTCAGTAAACAAGCATTATTGAATAAATGCTACATGCAAGGCACAGTGATACAAGAGCTTATTGTCTTAAACTTTAGTGAGTATAACAATTCCCTGGAAAATCTGTTAAAAGGTTCCTTGGCCCCGTTCCCAGACATTTTGACTTATTGGATATTTCTGCTGTTTACATCTAACAAGTACCTGTAGGTGATTTTGGTGTAGGCATTCTTTGGGCCATACTTTGAGATCCCTGCGCCAGTGGGAGATACTAAAACATTAATTTCGTTTTGCTTATCTGCCTACTTCCATAGATAATTTCAGGTAACTTCTAAGAAATATTTTTAAATTAATTAAAAAATTTGAAAAAATAGGAATGAGATAGAAATACAAGATACAGATACACAACTTTGCAGGTACACAACTTTGCAGATGCTAAGATCCTATATCACTGATAAAATTGGACCACATGTTTGGCTCTTAACTTCCAGGCAATCAAACCAAAAAGTCCTAGCCTCATATCATAAACAGGAAAATAAAGTTAAAGAAATTTAAGAAAATTTCTTGCATTTATATGAATAATACATGGAAGAGTCAAGATTTGAACTTAAAGTTTATCATTAACCAATTAATTCACTGCACATGGCAGAACATAAAATATAATGAAAATAAAGAAAAATATAAAGAAGAAAATAAATATCAACCATAGTTTAGCTATTGTTAGCCACTGCTAAAAATTTAGGGCTTTTTTTTTTCCAGTTGATTTTAATATAGTTTTAATTTTTTCTGATTAAATAAGTATACTTACTTTAAAAGCTTTGGAAGAGAAGAAAGTATAAAAGAGGGAGCAAAAATCCATGTTTCTATAAGCCAGTAATAAACACTTCAGTATTTTAATATATTTCTTAATAAGCTTCTGTTAGGCTTTTCTATTTACATGTACATTTTTTCACAACAGTAATGGAACTTTGTATACATGAGGTTTTATATCCTTTTCAGTATGTTGGTGAGCTTTTCCTATCTTGTTAAAATATTTCAATAGTATAGTTTTTTTCTGGCTGCTTAAAATTCCAACTCATAGCTTTATCATAATTGAATCATTCCACGACCATTGTATATTTAGGCTTTATTTATTTATTTATTGTTAGAAAGCTGCAATGAGCATAAATATTTGTTGTTAAGACTGAAGAGAAACAGACACTCTCCATTGCTGGTGGTGATTTACGTTGATATAATATTCTTCAGGTATTAAACAATTTGAAAATGTTAACGTCCTTTCTAGTAATTCAGTTTCTAGGCATCTCTCCAAAAGACCCCAGACTTTTTAATTATTTTCCATGCTTTGAACTGTCTTTTCCTTAGGATCTAAACGCTCTTCCCACAGCAATGCTTATTTTTATGGCTTCTTCAAGAACAAGCGAATAGTTTTGTTTGACACTCTACTAGAAGAGTATTCTGTACTAAACAAAGACATCCAGGAGGAGTCTGGCATGGAACCCCGCAATGATGGAGAAGGGGACAGTGAAGAAATAAAAGCTAAAGTTAAAGTGAGTTCTTCTTTTCCTAAGAGACCCTGGCTTAGTTTTTATAAACAGTTTCTATGACAACTCAAAATAATATTAATTTCTATGTAGTGAGTGTTGAACTCAGGGAGACTATCAAATAAAAATATAACTGCCCCTTTATAATTGTAGTATTTGGGAAAGAATATCACTGTTGTTACACGTTAACTATCTTTCAAGTTTTCACAGAATGTGCACAAGTATAAGATAGGAAAATTTGTATGATTATAAACTTTTTAAAAATAGGGACTTTATATATAATTCCTGATATGTTTATGATTGAAGAATTCCCACAGACAAGACAAAGAGGTGATAATAATCATCTCATTTTTAACTTCACTGAGATGTAGTAATTATAGTCTTTGGTGATGGAGACTTAAATCTGAATCCTGGTTGTCATTTAGTAGCTGTGCATTTTGGAGTATACTGTGTAACTTGGTCAGTTTTCTTTTGTTTGCTTAACAAACATTTATGAATTGTAAACTCTGCTGAGATACTTTCTTTGGAATTCAGAAACAAAGAGGGAAACCTTACTGTCAAGGAGCTTATAGTCTAAAGGGGAGAAAATCATACAAGCGCAGCTCCATATGGTAGTTGCTGCAGCGAAGCTATATATACTTGTGAGAGCATAAGAAATGCAGTGAGAGCCTAAGAGAAGACATTTCTTTAATCTGACCTTATAGTCTGAGAAAGCTTCTTCTGAATCTTCTCCTAGATGAGGTCAACTGATGGTAATTAGCAAAATCTAAAGTATACCAAGACTAAATGGGGAAGGGGAGACAGTGATAAGAAAACAATACATGTTTAATCAGAAACAGTCTCTAGTAGTTGCATATGTGATGAGATGTGCCATTAGCTTTGATGGCATTCAGAGATGATTTGAGATCTGTGTAACTGTGCAAATAAGTTTAGCTGTCTAAATCTTTGATTTCTTAACTGATAGACAATGCCAGCAGGGTCTCTCATCTTGAAACAATTGACATCTTGGACCAAATAGTTTTTCACTGTGGGAGGCTGTCTTGTGCCTCAGGAGATGTTTAGCAGCATCCTTGGCCTCTCCCTACCAGGTGCCAATATCAGTCCCTCCTTTCCCAGCAATTGTGACCATGGAAAATGTCACTAGATATTCCCAGATGTCCCCAGGGTTGGGAGAGAAGAGGCAAGATCACTGCTAATTGAAAAACACTGAGATAAAGATGCCTACCTTTTAGGGTTGTGGAGATTTAATGAAATAATATATGTGAAAAACCTGTGTACTCTTGAGTACCAGTGGAAAAAACTATTATCATTGAACATCTGTTTTGATTTTAAAGAGACGGTCTAATAGAGTGCCTGGACTGTTATAAATATCTAGACTGTTATAAATATCACAAAATGTGAAGGGGTTAAATAGCATTGGATGAGGGTTAACTCTTTGGATTGTATTTTTTTTTTTTAAGTAGATTTATTTTATCAGGCTACTGGGATAAAAGTCATTTTGATCTGACCAATGATCATAGGGTTTTAAGCTAGGAAGAGCTCTTAAGGTCATCTTATAGATAGGAAAACTGAAGCCCAGAAAGAGTAACCAGGTAAGAACACTGGGGAATCATGCATGTTCAGCAAGTCAACCTGCTGAAGTGGTATCTACATACAGGGTAGATGACTATAGTCAGACCTGGGTGTTAGATAGTGGTCTGCTGGTTTCAAGCAATCTAATGAAATTACTGACCTTTAGTATCTATGAGGCTCTGGAGGAAGAAATGACAACCCACTCCAGTATTCTTGCCCGGAGAATCCCATGGGCAGAGGAGCCTGGTGGGCTACAGTCCATGGGATCACAAAGAGTCAGACACGACTGAAGTGACTTACATGCATAACACAATATCTATGAGAACAGTATTCTTTGGTTTAGATCTTAGAAAAGGTTAGTCTTTTGAACTGTGTTGAATGGAGTTTGAGTTATTTTGTTAGCTTCTTGAAGAGACTGCTTTATTTCATTGATACCTGCAAAATATTTTTTAAAATTAAAATCATTTTATTTGCGGTTGTGCTGGGTCTTCATTGCTGCATGCAGGCTTTCTCTAGTTGTGGTGAGTGGAGGCTACTCTCTGTTGTGGTGTGCAGCTTTCTCATTGCTTCTCTCGTTGTGGAGCACAGGCTTCAGTAGTTGTGGCACGTGGATTCAGTAGTTATGGCATACAGGCTTAATTGCGCCTAAGTATGTGGAATCTTCCCAGACCAGGGATTGAACCGGTGTCCCCTGCTTTGGCAGGCGGACTTTTATCTACTGTACCACAAGGAAGTCCAGATGCAAATGTTTTAGCATCTATATATAAATTACATAGTCCTACCCTAGAGAACCTGTAGTAGAGGAGACTAGATTTGGCTCATAGTTTAAGGCAGGGGGTGGTAAATAAGTGGCTGAAATAGTGTGACTTTTAGAAATTCAGAAATGAATGCAGATTCTAATGGTCAGACAGATTTCTTAAAAGAGAGGATATTTGAACTAGGCAGAATTTTGATTTGGGGCTGGAGCTTTTCAGGATGAAGATATGTAATGAGTAAAGCTTTAAAAACAACTGCACAGTGGCTACTCTAAGACTAATGAATAAATGGATTCTTGTAGAAGAGGATAGAAAGGTAGGCCAGGACCAGTTTGTAAAGTACTTCCTCCTGAAGACATTCTAGTGGTTGTTTTCAGTGACCTGGAAAGTTTCGATTGATTTGGGTAAAGGCCAAGGGGCTTCTCTGGTGTTTCAGATGGTAAAGAATCTGCCTGCAATGCAGGAGACCCAGGTTCAATTCCTGGGTCAGGAAGATCCCTTGGGAAAAAGAGTTCAAAGCTTGTTTTAGGAAGTTTAAGATTTGATGGCAACATATGTGATAGAGCAAAGATTAGAGGCAAAGGGGACTGCTAGGGACTTACTGCATCAAGATAACCCAGATAGGCATGAAATAAGGGCCTACACCAGAGTGAGAGGTCAGAATAAGTGAGGAGTCATAATAAAAGATGGACTTAGGGTGATTGCTATTATGGAGACTGAAGGAGAAAGTCAAAGATTGACCCAAATCTCATGTATTGCTTTTCAGTGCATGTGTACAGGTGAGGTGATTTTGGTAGGATATCAATATTTGAAATTTGAGTGGCTATATGTGTATTAATGTATATTAGGAAAAAGATCAAACTAGTGTATCATGATTTCATGAAAGTTGTCATTTGGGATAAGGCTAAGTTTTAAAAAGTGAATTTATTTTTTAAAAGATATTAAGTAATTACACAGCAAATACACAAGTGTGGCAGAAGTTTAGGACATGGTGGTTTATTCAGCACTTGCTACTGTATACCTACTACGTATTTATACAACACAGTGGGGAATGCAGAAATGGTTTTAAGTCTGGATAGTGTAGAGAAGATGAAGTGTTTCAATTTGAGCAGATGTTTAAAGAAAAAAACTAAATCCCTCTTCTTAGAGATAACTATTATTAACATTTTGATGAATATCTCCATACTGGCTATTCACATTTTAAAAGATGTCTAGGAAACTTTCTCCCTGCAGTTTATCCTTCAGAAGACAAATTCAGTAGTTTGAACAACCTGTCTCAAAAGCATTTTAAGTGAAAGGAAAAATTTAAATATATAAAAACTGTCCTTTTATAGAAGAAAACAAGTATTTCCCCAGCAAGAGCTAGGGTCATGTGAATGTCTTCCCAGGTGATAAGTATAATAGAAAGAGGACAAGATCCAGAGGTGTGAGTTTGGGTTTTACCTACTGCTTATCAGCATGATAATCTTAAGATATTTTAACTTCCTGGCGTCCATCATCTCTAAAATGAAGATAATACTTCCCATCTTGCCCAGCTTGCTGTTGTGACGATCAAGTGAATCAGCATGTGAATTTTATTTTATGAAAAGGAAAGTGATATAGAAAAGAGAAAGATACTTTTTTTTCCTTATATGTGAAATTAACATGGGAAAAGAAAATCCAATTTTATCTAAGAAATCTACCACAAATAAACAGGTTTCATTTTTGCAAAAAATGACCCTTATTTAAGCTCTTGTCATTCCATAGCTTTGAACATGACTCCGTGGAGTTCTGAATAGCTTCCTAAAGGCAGACATCAAACCAAGATACAAGAACCTATGTTTTCTAATAGAGACCTGCTTGTTTTATAAAAGAATTCATAGTTCAGATTAAGAACCAATGAGGCTGATGATAGCTGCCTTGTAGTAGTGGAGATTAACTGTTTGTAAAATATCTAATAATACAATATCTGGTACATAGGTCATTTAATGAATGGAAACTGTTAATCATTATTATTAAACATAGCAGCTATTTTGCCTATTACTAAAGTAATAGATAAATTAGAAAACAATAATCCAACTAGCCATAAACATCTTGCTATATGTATTTCTGTTTTTTTTTATTAAAAATTATTTTTCCTCTTATTGGGTATATGGGTTTCCAGTTTTTTGCTGTTAAAAATATTCTTGTAATGAATATTTTTGTATGGAAATCTTCAGTTGCATCTCTTAATTTCCCCCTTAGAATAGATGTCTGTTAATTAGTGCTTTGTTCTCCCCTGTTGATGGCCATTGCCTGAAGGTACAGGTACACGTGTCTCTGAGCCATTTAAGAAACTAGGCTAGTTAGCTCGTTCTTTACTTTCTCTACCAAGTATATTCTGACCTAGATTCTCATGTTTAAAAGGAAAAGAGATAGTGAATGTAAAAGCTGTCTTGCCAATCACTTTTAATCTATCCCTCTTTTTCATGCATCTACCCAGCCTCGTTTTTAAGTGGTCATTTTCCTTAAAAATTAGGAATTGGTGAAGAAATGGAAAACTGGTAGAATATCTGGATTCCAGTATTTTGCTGCCTGTGTTCCCATTAGGTTGTGTTTTTCTAAGGTGTATAAAACAAAATCAGTTCCATGTTCATCTATTTGTACTTCACTCTTTTAAGTAGCTGGAGTTTATTTCAAAACCATTAGCCTTCACTTTCT